GTATTCACGCGGAGTGCGTTACATACGACTTGATCGTACAAGAAATTCAGCGTAAAAATGTATATAGTCGCAAGATAAACAGGACTCAATAATCGCTATCTCGAAGTTGTTAAATAAATACATTCTTGAAGAATATTCGCGACACTTAATTTCTACATTTGAATTTAATTACAACGTATTATTTTTATCGTTCCTCTAAAATTACTGTTTCCTGGGGACAGAATTTCAGATCCATCAAAGTGAGCTTTGAATCCATGGATGTTAACTGGAACAAGAATGAATATATTTTTTACGACATATATATATATATATATATATATATATATATGTCGTAAATACTTTATAATTTAATAAATTTTAAGAGTGGTTTTATTTAAATTTATTTTTTATTCAAGTTTTAAAATTTAATTTTTATTTTAAAGCGAAAAAGAGTACGATATAAAAAAAAATCAAATAAATATCTACATCAGAAATGTCCAACTTTACATCAGTGACGCTAGTGCTCCAGCATCTATCTCCTCTCCTTCTCTATTTCTCTTGGCGAGAGAATGAAGAGAGAGAAGCGTTTCGATTCTGAAGCTAAAGTTGAACATGCCTGATCTACATAATAAGACTTAAATGCTTACATCATCTACTTACATCCCTTCGAGGCCAACTAGATAGGAGCTTATATTCTTCTGTAGGATAACCTTCCACAATAAGGAAATTAAAGAGCGTTTGTAACGGCGTATCTGATTGAAATTTACGTTCCAGGAATTTTCCTGCTGGAAGCCGTACTCTTACTTTCATTACGCCATCGCCCGCTCCCTGTTGCGGTTCAGGTGGTAAACTAGACTCTACAGCTTGCCTGTGAGCTTCTTTTCTCGCTTTCTCAGCTAATCTTTCGTTTTCAGCCTGCTCTTTCTTTTTCTTTTCGAGCTCCTCTTGTATCTGTTTCGCTTCTTCTTTTGCTCTTAAAATAAATTGTGAACATTACATTTTTTTATCCAATGTAAATCGTTTATACACACATATATATATATGGACATATCTTTTCTTCTTTCCTCTCAACAGTTTAGATATCTTTTTTTAAATTACCTATCAGCTGCCAAACTTTCTTGATATGCTCTGTCTTGTTCTTGTTTGACTCTTTCTCTAGCTTGTCGTTCTTCTTCAACGCCAATATCAGCTCGTCTTTGTTCCTATTAAAAAAAAAAAAAAAATAACAGTTGTATAAATCGAAGTCTATATTTATATCCATACTGTTATTTTTCAACAGTATGTGTGTGTGTATAAAATAAAAGTTATATTACTCACTTGGAACACATCGACGGCTTGTACCAAATTTGTTAGTAACTCATTAACACCTACATTGCCATGAACGATAGTAAATATCTCTGTGTTAGATCTAGATCTCATAATAATCATAAGAACTGGCAAGGTATCAACATCTATGCTCGACACAGCCAATGAACCAACAGTACCAAGGGTTTGAGTTACAGAATACAAAAATCTGAAAATCAAACGAACATTTAACGCAAACTCGATAAATTTTTAACATCGCATATTTGTAAACTTTACCTTTCTTTGTTAGATTCATATGTGATGTCCCAACCCCATACTATAAAATTTGCCGAAAGAAGTTGAAGCACCGTTTCGAAGCCTAACAGTTGAGTACAAAAGACGTTTGCCAAAACACTGTTATCGTGATGCAAATATACAGCCAATAATTTTCTCTGTAATAATATAAAATTATATATTTCCAGTTTAACATATTGACCGTGTTGTTTTCAGTACTTAGAACAGACCTCTTTTGCTGGTTTTAGACACGATTCCTTCAGAGCATCTTCGAATGTACCAGTAAAGAATTCCGGGTGTGCCGGTCCGTATCGCTTTTCAAATTGCTCCGCAAAATGTAACGTACCCATCACCTCATCTACTACATTTTCTGGCACTGTTTATAAATAAAAAAATATATTATTGAATTGTGATAGTGACATCATATCATTTCAATAAAATAGTTATTCCCTTATGATACAAAATACTCACTGAGACGTTCTATTTTAGTGGGTTTAACATCGTCTATGAAAATATCATCGTCGCCAGTAAACTCTTCCGGAACATCAAATTCTTCCACATCTTCTGGTTCATCTATTGAACTATCACTGTCAATTAGATCTACGACTTTCTGAAATATAAAATACAAATATATTATAATTTTATATATAAATTAAAAGAAAAAAATTTATTTCTCCGACGAGACATTACCTTCTTTTCTTCCTTCGCTGGAAGTTTTCCGACGGATAAATCATGCTCCGGATAACATATACCACTTTGTGCCAGTATTACATTATCATCCTTCAACGAACTAGGCCAACCCTTCCACTGTTGATTTCGTACAGGTACATCTATTAACGAGTAGATGTCCGTCTTCACTTCTAGTACAGTACGTGTACCAGGAAACTTCAACTTGTATGTTTTATTATGCACTTCGTCCTTGACGTTTAACGTATATGTCTGAGTCATACGATCTGATGACAGAATGACGCTGAAACGAAAAAAATATAAATTTGTGATTATAATAATCATAAAATTACATCGATAAAATTTTACAACTTACGCCTCATTAGTCAAGTCACCGTCTTGTGGCAAAGATGACTGTAGATATAAAGTATTTTCTCTAGGAAGATCTAATGTCTGCAGCACGGTATTCGATGTCATATTCACAAATTCCTTTTTCCATCCATAAAGTTTCTGCTGACAAGGTGGTACAGTTGTTTTACACCATATAAATTGTTTAAGATCTCCTGAAAAAAGAACATAAAATAATTTGATTTCTTCCATCTTATTAAATTTTTAATTATCAAAATTATCTAAATATCAACAATTTTCACTTACTTAAAGTGGATAAATCTGACAAATTTATTTTATAAACGTTATCAAGATAATTAATATGGAATGTAAGTTGTCTATTCTTCATACAACTTTTAGGTCTACTTGTCCCAGGTTTTGCACTTTCTACTGTGTCTGCTTTCATGGCTCCTGTCTTTTTCGAATTCTGCACCGTTTGTAACTTTGATGACGATGACGACGATGAAAGTGGTGTTACTTTAATTTCTTCTACCATTTCTATATCAGGAGCCATTTCAGAAGGAAGCTGCTGCGTAGTTTGGGGCATGGCCTTGTTTATTGCAGCCTAAATGAGAAGATATATGTTGAGATAATCAAAGTTGCTACAACATATTTGCATACTATATTTGCTTTCTAATAAGAAACAAATGATCCATTATAATAGCGAATCATTTCTTTAACATTGAAAAATAACAAAGGTATAATGATTTACTATTAGAGCTTTCCAGCAAGAGATATGACAGTAATCATTTCACTTTTAACATTTGCAAATAAGAATATAATAAGACACTGTGTTACATTGCATTATCTATGCAATGGTGTATTCTCTTGCTGAAAAAAGCATTTATGCTTTAATTATATTTATATTTACCAACAAATCCCAATTTGTTTGTTCCAAATATAAAATCGCTTCTCCGAAATCATCAATTCCAGTACAAGCCTGAAAATAATTTAATTTAAAAGACAAATACAAATACAAAAAGATAGAACGCAAAGTGGAAAGTCACAGTGATATTTATACGAAGATACGTCATTAATACTCGTCTGAGAATTCGTCAGGTTTTAAAACAAAGGCATGCAAGACGACATGACAAAGGAATTAAGCGAAAGTTTTCGCGAATTTTGGCAAATCACGGTGTCAGCGCAATTTGACCGATACAAGTCATGTATTTAAATGTACCGTTAATTTTTAAAGTATTGCGAAAAAAGTTTATTGGATATCTCGGGAAAGTTCTCGTCTCAAATGCAAACAAATTATTGTCAATGTCATGTACACGTAACTCCATAACCTAAGAATACATTTGCGTTGCGCTTGCAAGAAGCTTCTAGAATCCATCAATTTACCTGAAAGTCAGCTAGTATCGCGTCCCGATTTTCAGCCATCGCAATGAAATTCCAACACAAAGATTGTAAGACGTCCAAGTTCAACGATACTCTCGCGTTCTATTATCTTATAGCTATTGCAAATAATATGAACAACAACCGCGAGCCATTGAAGTCTTGAACCACGAAATTTTCACGTAAGATACTCGGCGTCTCATTGCACGTACTGTACGATTATACAGTAACACAGTCTGTGGCAATGAAGAGAACAAGCTCTTGCATAATGCATAAAACATGAGGCATAAGAAAATCAACCAATCAGAGTTTTTTATTTCATGGAAAGAAACGAAGGACTTTAATTGGTACATTTTTTTATGCATTACGTATTATGCGTTATGCAAGAATCTGTGCTCTTCGCTTTATACTCGTCTACAATAAACAGTTGCAGAAGAGGCTGTAGAAACATCGGAAGCGATTCCATTTAACTATCTTTATGCATGGTCTACAATGACAGTATCAGTAATGCATGAGATTGAAGAGTAAGAAATTGACCAATCACAGTTGATTATTCTTCTCATATTCAACTGTGATTGGTCAATTTGTTATTCTTACAACCTCATCAATTACTGCTACTGTCATTGTAGACCACGCATTACAAGCCTACCGACAAATGTTAATGTCGTTGCACAGATATTTTATATGGTGAAAAAGCTGCGCAACGACATAGACAATGGCCTAGTTTCCACCGAAGATTTAAACCGGATCAGAATCAATCGGAAGTTTGAGTAAGAACTAACCAACTACAGTCGAACAGTTCCCCTGTTACAGTCGAACGACAGGGGAATGCTCGTAGTTGGTTGGTTCTCAGGGTGAAATCACACGGTACGGGAATCAGCATGCGGAACAAAGGATGCGTGATTCGAACAGCCAATCAGCGCTCCTCCGCCTTTTTCCTTCCCATGTC